TAATAATACATATGTGCAATAATACATATGTGTAATAATACACATGTGTAATAATACATATGTGTAATAATACATATGTGCAATAATACATATGTGTAATAATACATATGTGTAATAATACATATGTGTAATAATACATATGTGCAATAATACATATGTGTAATAATACATATGTGCAATAATACATATGTGTAATAATACATATGTGCAATAATACATATGTGCAATAATACATATGTGTAATAATACATATGTGCAATAATACATATGTGTAATAATACACATGTGTAATAATACATATGTGTAATATATACATATGTGCAATAATACATATGTGTAATAATACATATGTGTAATAATACATATGTGTAATAATACATATGTGCAATAATACATATGTGTAATAATACATATGTGCAATAATACATATGTGTAATAATACATATGTGCAATAATACATATGTGCAATAATACATATGTGTAATAATACATATGTGCAATAATACATATGTGTAATAATACATATGTGCAATAAAACATATGTGTAATAATACATATGTGTAATAATACATATGTGTAAAAAATACATATGTGTAATAATACATATGTGCAATAATACATATGTGCAATAATACATATGTGTAATAATACACATGTGTAATAATACATATGTGCAATAATACATATGTGCAATAATACATATGTGTATTAATACATATGTGTAATAATACATATGTGCAATAATACATATGTGCAATAATACATATGTGTAATAATACACATGTGTAATAATACATATGTGCAATAATACATATGTGTAATAATACATATGTGCAATAATAAAATATGTGTAATAATACATATGTGCAATAATACATATATGCAATAATACATATTGTAATAATACATATGTGCAATAATACATATGTGCAATAAACATATGTGTAATAATACATATGTGCAATAATACATATGTGTAATAATACAATGTGCAATAATACATATGTGTAATAATACATAGTGGCAATAATACATATGTGTAATAATACATATGTGTAATAATACATATGTGTAATAATACATATGTGTAAAAATACATATGTGCAATAATACATATGTGTAATAATACACATGTGTAATAATACATATGTGTAATAATACATATGTGCAATAATACATATGTGCAATAATACATATGTGCAATAATACATATGTGTAATAATACATATGTGTAATAATACATATGTGCAATAATATCATATGTGTAATAATACACATGTGTAATAATACATATGTGTAATAATACATATGTGCAATAATACATATGTGTAATAATACATATGTGTAATAATACATATGTGTAATAATACATATGTGCAATAATACATATGTGTAATAATACATATGTGCAATAATACATATGTGTAATAATACATATGTGCAATAATACATATGTGCAATAATACATATGTGTAATAATACATATGTGCAATAATACATATGTGTAATAATACACATGTGTAATAATACATATGTTAATAATACATATGTGCAATAATATATATGTGTAATAATACATATGTGTAATAATACATATGTGTAATAATACATATGTGCAATAATACATATGTGTAATAATACATATGTGCAATAATACATATGTGTAATAATACATATGTGCAATAATACATATGTGTAATAATACATATGTGCAATAATACATATGTGTAATAATACATATGTGCAATAATACATATGTGTAATAATACATATGTGTAATAATACATATGTGTAATAATACATATGTGTAATAATACATATGTGCAATAATACATATGTGCAATAATACATTTGTGTAATAATACACATGTGTAATAATACATATGTGCAATAATACATATGTGCAATAATACATATGTGTAATAATACACATGTGTAAATAATACATATGTGCAATAATACATATTGTGTAATAATACATATGTGCAATAATACATATGTGTAATAATACATATGTGCAATAATACATATGTGCAATAAATACATATGTGCAATAAATACATATGTGTAATAATACATATGTGTAATAATACATATGTGCAATAATACATATGTGTAATAATACACATGTGTAATAATACATATGTGTAATAATACATATGTGCAATAATACATATGTGTAATAATACATATGTGTAATAATACATATGTGTAATAATACATATGTGCAATAATACATATGTGTAATAATACATATGTGCAATAATACATATGTGTAATAATACATATGTGCAATAATACATATGTGCAATAATAAAATATGTGTAATAATACATATGTGCAATTAATACATATGTGTAATAATACACATGTGTAATAATACATATGTGTAATAATACATATGTGCAATAATACATATGTGTAAATAATACATATGTGTAATAAACATATGTGTAATAATACATATGTGCAATAATAAATATGTGTAATAATACATATGTGCAATAATACATATGTGTAATAATACATATGTGCAATAATACATATGTGCAATAATACATATGTGTAATAATACATATGTGCAATAATACATATGTGTAATAATACATATGTGCAATAATACATATGTGTAATAATACATATGTGTAAAATACATATGTGTAATAATACATATGTGTAATAATACATATGTGCAATAATACATATGTGCAATAATACATATGTGTAATAATACACATGTGTAATAATACATATGTGCAATAATACATATGTGGCAATAATACATATGTGTAATAAAACATATGTGTAATAATACATATGTGCAATAATACATATGTGCAATAATACATATGTGTAATAATACACATGTGTAATAATACATATGTGCAATAATACATATGTGTAATAATACATATGTGCAATAATACATATGTGTAATAATACATATGTGCAATAATACATATATGCAATAATACATATGTGTAATAATACATATGTGCAATAATACATATGTGCAATAATACATATGTGTAATAATACATATGTGCAATAATACATATGTGTAATAATTTCATATGTGCAATAATACATATGTGTAATAATACATATGTGCAATAATACATATGTGTAATAATACATATGTGTAATAATACATATGTGTAATAATACATATGTGTAAAAATACATATGTGCAATAATACATATGTGTAATAATACACATGTGTAATAATACATATTTTGTAATAATACATATGTGCAATAATACATATGTGCAATAATACATATGTGCAATAATACATATGTGTAATAATACATATGTGTAATAATACATATGTGCAATAATACATATGTGTAATAATACACATGTGTAAATAATACATATGTGTAATAATACATATGTGCAATAATACATATGTGTAATAATACATATGTGTAATAATACATATGTGTAATAATACATATGTGCAATAATACATATGTGTAATAATACATATGTGCAATAATACATATGTGTAATAATACATATGTGCAATAATACCCTATGTGCAATAATACATATGTGTAATAATACATATGTGCAATAATACATATGTGTAATAATACACATGTGTAATAATACATATGTGTAATAATACATATGTGCAATAATATATATGTGTAATAATACATATGTGTAATAATACATATGTGTAATAATACATATGTGCAATAATACATATGTGTAATAATACATATGTGCAATAATACATATGTGTAATAATACATATGTGCAATAATACATATGTGCAATAATACATATGTGTAATAATACATATGTGCAATAATACATATGTGTAATAATACATATGTGCAATAATACATATGTGTAATAATACATATGTGTAATAATACATATGTGTAATAATACATATGTTAATAAATACATATGTGCAATAATACTATGTGCAATAATACATTTGTGTAATAATACACATGTGTAATAATACATATGTGCAATAATACATATGTGCAATAATACATATGTGTAATAATACACATGTGTAATAATACATATGTGCAATAATACATATGTGTAATAATACATATGTGCAATAATACATATGTGTAATAATACATATGTGCCAATAATACATATGTGCAATAATACATATGTGTAATAATACATATGTGCAATAATACATATGTGCAATAATACATATGTGTAATAATACATATGTGCAATAATACATATGTGTAATAATACATATGTGCAATAATACATATGTGTAATAATAACATATGTGCAATAAAAACATATGTGTAATAATACATATGTGTAATAATACATATGTGTAATAATACATATGTGTAATAATACATATGTGCAATAATACATATGTGCAATAATACATATGTGTAATAATACACATGTGTAATAATACATATGTGCAATAATACATATGTGCAATAATACATATGTGTAATAATACATATGTGTAATAATACATATGTGCAATAATACATATGTGCAATAATACATATGTGTAATAATACACATGTGTAATAATACATATGTGCAATAATACATATGTGTAATAATATATATGTGCAATAATACATATGTGTAATAATACATATGTGCAATAATACATATGTGCAATAATACATATGTGTAATAATACATATGTGCAATACTACATATGTGCAATAATACATATGTGTAATAATACATATGTGCAATAATACATATGTGTAATAATACATATGTGCAATAATACATATGTGCAATAATACATATGTGTAATAATACACATGTGTAAAAAATACATATGGCAATAATACATATGTGCAATAATAACATATGTGTAATAATACATATGTGCAATAATACATATGTGTAATAATACATATGTGCAATAATACATATGTGCAATAATACATATGTGTAATAATACATATGTGCAATAATACATATGTGTAATAATACATATGTGCAATAATACATATGTGTAATAAAAACATATGTGCAATAATACATATGTGTAATAATACATATGTGTAATAATACATATGTGTAATAATACATATGTGCAATAATACATATGTGCAATAATACATATGTGCAACACTTGGGTGTCTTTATTGAGGACACGTTTCGCCCCAAAGTGGATTCATCAGTCTAATACAGAGAGGAACGGTGTGGAACAGGAAGTTTGAGGTGTGAGTCTTTAAGGTTGAAGTCGAGGCGTCCAGGTCATCAGTCTTGAAGACTGATGACCTGGACGCACCGATTCCAGGTTAAGATAAGATTTTGAGGGGAATTTTAACTCTGGAGGGTTAGCCAGCCAGGATAACCCAGGGTAGGGAGTGTTAGCCAGCCAGGATAACCCAGGGTAGGGAGTGTTAGCCAGCCAGGATAACCCAGGGTAGGGAGTGTTAGCCAGCCAGGATAACCCAGGGTAGGGAGTGTTAGCCAGCCAGGATAACCCAGGGTAGGGAGTGTTAGCCAGCCAGGATAACCCAGGGTAGGGAGTGCTAGCCACGCAGGATAACCCAGGGTAGGGAGTTCTAGCCACGCAGGATAACCCAGGGTAGGGAGTGCTAGCCACGCAGGATAACCCAGGGTAGGGAGTGTTAGCCAGCCAGGATAACCCAGGGTAGGGAGTGCTAGCCACGCAGGATAACTCAGTGGGTCATGGAGGACTGTGTCTGTCTTATTGCCATTGTGGTCCTTCAGTCATGTCCCCCAGGATGCCACCCACACCAGTCACCTAACACCCAGGTTCCTTCTTGCTAGATGAACACTGACAGCAGGTGTAAGAAAACACAACCAATATTTGCACTCGTGCCGGGGATCAAACCACGGACACTCAGTGTACAAGGCGAGAGCGTTACCTACCAGACCACTGTACACATTACCTCAAACTCCTTCTGGTCTACACTATTCTCTATATTGGACTGAGGAAGCCACTGATGGGCGAAATGTTTCCTTACAAAAAGATACACATATATTGCATTTCCCAACTTGTTGATTGTCTAAAGTCTAAAATGAAGACCGTAAGGCTACCTGTGTAGAGCTTGAACCGACGCTAAAGCTCTACATAGAGCTGGACTGTGGTTCAGCTCAAGCTTGGAACAACACATCACTCATCTGGACAAAAGGTGATACAAGGGGTGGTGTCCGAACACACCTTGTTCATAATATCGAAGTTCCCTTCTTCACACTGCTGTGAGTACTCGGGTATACCAACTACGTCACAGTAGTAGTAACGTTTACAGTCTTTGGGATCAATAACGAGGGTATACAGATCATTTTCTGTGCAATATGGCTTGCAGTTGCAACATTTGGTCTTGTCAGATTGACAGGAAGATCCATCGAAGTATTTCCCAGAGGCACATTGTTGCTCAACGTTTCCAGGACACTCGTAGTAGATGCTACAGTCGTAGTGGTCAGCCACAGAAGCTATGTCAACAGCATCATCACAACTGTAGAAACAAGAACTACAACCCTTGTTAGAGCATGTGTTACCTACAACACATTCGCCTTCAGTGTCGTTAAATACATAACCATCCTCACAGGAGAAGGGTACAGATGAAGGCTCGTTGCTACCATCACAAAAGTAGAACTGACGGCAGTTGGTGGGGTCTGGGACCTTGTCACCTGGCTGTTTGCCTGTACAATCTGGCTTACAGTCTACAACGTCTTGTGTAGAGGCGATGCTAAGTTGGATCTGTAGGTAGAGAGAATTTAATTTAGATCTACGTATTGAAACATCAGTTTAACATAACCTATAGTCTGGCTTACAGTCTACACTGTCTTGTGTAGAAGTGATGCTGGACTTGTAGATCAGGGATCCCTAAAGTAGTCAATATTGACTCTTAAGGGTTGATGGGGCTATCAAAGGGGTTGATAAATGGCTGGAGGTCAAAAGTGGGTTGAAGATGGTGTTGGCCATCTTAAGTTACACCATGTATGATAAGTGTACTTAAGTGTACCTGTGCTTAAACTTACACAAACAGATCTGAGAATTGTTCAGGACACAACTGGTGTCCTGGTGGTTAACGCTCTGGCTTCACACGGTGAGGGTCTGGGTTCGATTCCCAGCCAGAGTAGAAATATTGGACGTGTTTCTTCCACCTGTTGTCTATGTTCCCCATCAGTAAAATGGGTACCTGGGTGTTAGTCGACTGGTGTGGGTCGCATCCTGGGACACTGACCTAAGGAGGCCTGGTCACAGACCGGGCCGCAGGGGCGTTGACCCCCGAAACTCTCTCCAGGTAAACTCCAGGTAAACATACTGTCTACCAGGACTCGAGGGGTGGGTCGGGGGATACCACCGAGAATTGTTCAGGACACAACTGTCTACCAGGACATGCTAGTTAGCAATGGTAATGTTTAAATATTTAAGATAGCTATGTTTGCTATCTTGATGTATGGTGTGTGGAGACGATAGGATAGCAGGACTTACCAGCAGGATTATTATAGGCAGACTGAGAATCCTGTGAAGGATGTGGGTGGCCATGGTGGTGGTTACTGCTAGGATGGCACTTGCTGATGCTGCTGGCAGTGTACGGTGCCTCTCCCTGCTGCTGTAATTGAAGGTGTCTGTGGGTGTCTGCTGACGCTGTTGGCACTGTGGATTCTGGAGATGATTGCATGGTTAATTGGGTTTAAAGTCTATCTACTACACAAGGCTGGTTGGCTGGTGTGCATATATACATAAATACGCTCTCAGTTTATATATATACATTAATACACTCTCAGTATATATATATATATATATATATATATATATATATATATATATATATATATATATATATATATATATATATATATATATATATATATATATATATAATATATATATATATATATATATTAATACACACCTCTCTGTGTATATTTGATGCGCTGAACGAGAACCTGCAGGTGTATATCTCTGTACTGATGTCAAACCACTGTCTCACTCTCCCTAGTATGTGAGATAGCAGGGTATACCACAGTATATATACATAGATATATACATATAGATATCTGTATGTCTATCCTTGGGCCGTGTGCGCGCGCATATATCCACACTAACGCCTTTAGCGTATTGCTAAGCAAAATGACATTTGGGGTTGCAGGGGTCGAGTCACAGCTTCTGGCCCCGCCTCTTCACTGGTGGTTACTAGGTCCACTCTCTCCCTGCTCCATGAGCTTTACCATACCTCTTCTTTAAGCTGTGTATGGGTTCTGATACCACTACCTCACTTGCCAGACTATTCCACTTCCTGACAACTTTGAGACGAAAGAAATACTTCCTAACATCCCTGTGACTCAACTGAGTCTTCAACTTCCAGTTGTGTCACCTTGTTGTTGTGTCCTCTTGTTGCTGTGTCCCCTTGTTGTTGTGTCCCCTTGTTGCTGTGTCCCCTTGTTGTTGTGTCCCCTTGTTGCTGTGTCCCCTTGTTGTTGTGTCCCCTTGTTGCTGTGTCCCCTTGTTGTTGTGTCCC